TGGGAGTCACACTGCCTGCGTTCGAACCCCATCCTTGCCATTTACTAGCTGTGTAACCTTGGGCAAGTTCCTTGATCTTCCTGTGCCTCTGTTTACCCATCTGAAAAGGAAATAGTATACTTAGCTCATAGAACTGAGACTAGGTTTAAATGAGTTAATATAGCCAGACCACTGGGAACAGTGCTCAGTATGGACAAGTGTTTGCCATTAACAGATACTGTTTCAGTGTGTTGTCCTTTTGAGCCTGTGTGGAAACGGTGCCAGAGACACCCCTGCCTGTCACCTCTTCCCACCACTGCTTGCTCTGGGACCCCACCTCCATTTGTCAGCCTCGCTGGATCACCCAATAACTGTGCATGGGTTTAGAGGACAGTGTATGAGCACCACCTGATTCCAAAACACTCCCCCTTAGATATCTCCCGGGACTCCATCCCCAAGGATTCATGAACATATGAAATTTGATGATGTTCCAGAGATTGGCTGACAGGCCCGCCTCTCTCCTGTTGCCCTAACCACAAACTCTGGGTGTACAGGCAACCTGGAATTTGCCCAGAACTACTGCTTAAAGGAAGGAGCATCCAACATGTACTGAGTACCACCTGCCATCTTGTTTCATCCGACAGGGCAGGGGTCACCCTCATTTTATATGCAAGAAAATTAAAGCACAAAATGATTAAGTACTTTGCCCAAGGTCACACAGCTAGCCAGAAGATCCAAACTTTCGTTTTCTGGCCTTGCCTTCTTTGTGTTATAAAACTTTGTCCCTTTCTCTCTCTGGAAGGTCATTTAAGAGGTGGCTATGGAAGGTGTGAGTCATTTACAGAGGATGTCCCATTAATAAGAGGATAACAATTGCTTGGGTGATGGAAATAGAGAATTTGCTGGTCACAGCAGTTGTGTCTTAGCTCGGGCTTCCATGACAGAATGCCATAGATGGTTGGCTTAAACAACAGACATTGATTTCTCACAGGAATGGAGGCTGAGAAATCTGAGATCAGGGGACCAGCATGGTCAGGTTCTAGTGAGGACTGTCTTCCAGACACTTGCCTCAAGTATTAGCATGCACACCTATGAATCTGATTCTCATCCATATGCGTCTCACCCCCCAGCCCATGTCCTCTCCTTCACATCTCTTTCCTGAGACCAGATCTGCATCGTTAACTGACTCCTAAACAACCACAGAAGTACCTCAAGCCAACATGTACAAAACTGAGCTCATCATTCTGCACTGGAAATCTCCTCCTCTGTCGATCCTTGTTGGTAACAACACCATCCATATTGTACCCTAGTCTGGAAAAGCACAATTATAACTGTTTCTTACTGAATGCTTGTTATTTGCCAGTCACTGTGCCAAATGGTTTCCAGAGTTTTTCATTTAAGCTTCGCAAAAACCATGTGCTGTTGGCATCATCATGCCTATTCCATGAACGCAGAGACATAAGGTCAAGACGATTAAGGACTTGCTCAAGGTCTCGTGGTTACTTGTGGTCAGTAACTCCCACTTTGGCTCCAAAGCCCATGGTTCACATTAAGTCACACAGAGAAGGCGCACACACAGTGACCACAGATGTGTTTTAGTTACCAGAGAAGTGACTTATCAACATTTTAAACTAGGAGGGGTTCAAACAAGAATCCAGATTTCAGATATTTCTTGACGATTCAGAAGATTTGGCAAAGGAAACCACCTTCCAAATGGCAGCAGTGGACTGCAGGTGGGCGGCAGCCACCCCCTTTGGAATGCATTCTGGGGGCATGCATTCTCCAGCCCGGCGCAGTCCCTACCGCTCCCTGCTGTCTTGCCACTGGCCCATTTCCATCGTCAGCGCTGCCTGCCTGACTTTCTGGTATTGGAGTTTAAGGCTCCTGTTGCCTTGTGTCCGTCGGCTCTCCCCTCTCTTTCATTCTTCCACCATCTAATGGGTCCCTGAATTGACAGTGTTGCTTGTGCAGTCATTTACTGTCTGTCTCACATTCTTCATCTCTAATGCTACAAATTGTTCCTCCTAACCTCTCACCCCAATTACTCTAGTAAACACCTGCTTTCCTGCTTCCAGTCTTGATAGCCATTAATTCATTCTCCACACTGCTTATAATTAGGGATATAAAAAAAAAAAAAAAAAAAAAACAGGACTAGATGATGTCCAGGGGCTTCAGAATGAAATGCAGACTCCTTACGGAGGCTTGCAAGACTGTTCATGATCTGGCCTCTGACCAGGGGCCTCATTTATGTTCACTTTCCACTCTCCACTTGACCTTATTGAAATATGGGCTCTCCCCTTCACATCTCCTTGCATATTTACTCATCTTTCTCTCTTACTTGGAATATGCTATGTGGATTATGTGAATATTTGTAATGGAGTCTATCAACATGAGTCTAGAGTGATTGCCTTTCTAAAATTTGTATTTTTTTAAATTTTGACTTGATGGATGAGTCTTTGATTTCTTTTTCCACTCAGATACAAACAGGATAGAAACATGAGTCCCGGTTATGTTTATACATCTTAACACCTTAACTGTCCCATCACTGACTTCTCTTCTGTGCCGTATTGCAGAGTAGCAAGAGATTGGGCTTAGTATCCCCGCTCTGCCATCTACTAGCTATGTAGACTTCAACAGGCTACTTTATGTATGTTTCTGTGTCAAGTAGAGCTACTAAGGGTTCTTTTATCATACAATTACAGTGGGGTTTGGAGAAATAAGGAATGGAAAGGCTTAGAACCATCTGGTGCACACCAGCCCCCAGGGGATGTCCACTATTTTTGTTACTCTTACCATTCTAATTTAATTCATTTATTCAGCATTGGATCAGGAGCTCTTTCAGGAATTTTGCCATGTATCTTTTTAGAACCCACAACAAACTTTATGAAGAAAATAATTTCAGCTCTTTTCTGGATGAGGCAGCAGATTAGAGTGGTCGGGGCTTGCTTGGTCGCTGTTTGTCCCATGGTAATAAGTATTTAAGTATCTCCTTTTCAGTCAGAGTAAAATGGAACACATCTCATGAAAGATGGAATTATATTCCATTCCAGGCCGTGAAGGGATTCTTTGGCAAATTCAAGTGTTATTAAAACTGATGTGGGACATTTTTAGTATGATTTCTAAAATTTAAAAACTACCATGAACTTTATAAAATGTTGAATAGAATTGGATTTTGAAAAGATTTTCTATTTCTGGGTGGAAAAATACCAAGTTGATTATGCCAAGTTATGAGGGATGCTTCAGACAATTAAGTCTGGGAGCTATTTTTGTTTGTTTTATATATTCACTGTGTCCTTAACAGTAACAACAGAAATTGCCAATATTGTCAGGAGTTCTGTGTGAAGATGGGTAAATACAAACTTAAATGTAGACAAGAAGGGGCGCCTGGGTGGCTTAGTCAGTTGAGCGTCTGCCTTCGGCTCAGGTCATGATCTCGGGGTCCTGGGATCGAGTCCCTCATCAGGTTCCTTGCTCAGCGGGAAGTCTGCTTCTCCCTCTGCCCCCCCCACCCCCCCACTTGTGCTTTTTCTCTCTCTCAAATAAATAAGTAAAATCTTTAAAAAACATGTAGACAAGAAAAGTTGAAGAGAATATTGGAATAAAAACTATTAGTAAAATTATTTAACTTTGTTTCTAAAATTTGAACCACCTTCATTTCATTTTCAAGCTGCTCTTATACTGTGAGAAGAATAGGTTTTACTAAAGCATTTGAAATCTCTACATGGATACACAAACCTACAGACCCACATATATGTAGGTACACATTTTAAAATTGAGAAATACTGAAACACATATACAGAAAACAAAATAAATATCACCTACACAATTAGCACATTTAATATTTTTTTAAATTGTACCTTAGAGGTACAAATTAGATATCAATTTCATTCATTTTAGGTACATAACTCAGTGCTTTTTGTAAATGTATCACCACAATGCAATATTAGACCATTTAAGTCGACCCCAAAGACTGCTCAAGGCCATTCAAGGTCAGTCCCTCTTCCTACCCGGCCCCAGGCAAGCACCAGTCTATTTTCTATATTTATAGATTTGCTTTTTCTGGACATTCCTTATAAGTAGAATCACAATATGTGTTGTTTTTTAACTGCTTTCTTTCAGTAGCGTAATTTTTTTGGGGTGCATCCACAATGTAGCATGAGTGAGAACTTAGATCCCTTTTATTGCTGGGTAGTATTCCATTATATAGACACACCATAGTTTGTTTATCCATTACAGTAACCAACTTAAAAAGTATATATTTAAGAAACCGCTAACAGTGGCTCTTCTAGAGAGAAGAATGAGGTGTAAGGGATTTGGGTGGGAGATCTTTTCATTGTTTACTATTTTATATGGGTTTATTTTTTAAATTCAAGATATATTTTTTTTGAAGCAAAGGTAAGGAATGCCTTTCCTCCAGCAAAATGTATAAAATAAGAGGACAAAGCCCTCCACTGACCCCAATCCCCCCTTCCTGAACGTAATCACCATTCATTTATTTTTGGCATCTTTCTAGACTGTATGCACACACATACATAAGCACATGTACACCTATAAATATATTCATGTCCCTGTATGTCTGTACATCTAAGTGGTCATATATCTTACATTTCAACAAATTGGAAGCCCAGGGCTTAATATTTTAACCCCCGGTTCCCAAAGCTAAGAAGACCTGCCTTCCCCCTACCGTTGGGTTGTCTGTATCTGGAAACTGTTAAATGAGTTAATCACTTCACAGTGAGGAACATTTAAGAATGGACCCAGTTTATTTATTTATTTTTAAAGATTTTGTTTATTTGAGAGAGAGAGGGAGGGCACAGAGGGAGAGTGAGAAGCAGACTTCCTGCTGAACAGAGAGCCCCATGCCGGGCTCAATCCCAGGACCCTGAGATGACCTGAGCCGAAGGCAGACGCTTAACCATCTGAGCCACCCAGGCGCCCCATGGACCAAGTTTATTAGCTATGATGTGTGAACACAGTTTAATTTATTTTTTACCCGTCCCCCTGTCTGTGTTTTCTGGCAGGATACTTTGGCGCTGCCTGCGAGGAAAAGGTGGACCCCTGTGCCTCGTCCCCATGCCAGAACAACGGGACCTGCCACGCAGACGGCATGCATTTCAGCTGCAGCTGCAGCGCGGGCTTCACGGGGCCAGCGTGCGCCCAGCTCGTGGACTTCTGCGCGCTCAGCCCCTGCGCGCACGGCACCTGCCACAGCATGGGCACCAGCTATAAATGCCTCTGTGACCCAGGTTGGTACAGTCATGGAATGCAAATCCTTGCTCTCTCCAGTCTCAGACTTTAACCTTTTGTTTTGCATCTAGGCAGATGTTCGCTCCCCAAATGTGTTCGCTTGTCCATAGGCGTGCACCCCACTCATTCATGACATCCTTTCTCTTTAGACTTACTCTTGGCAGGGTTTTAAAAACACCCTTTCCCCTCTCCGTGAGCAGGTCACAGTCATTATGACAAAATAAGAAAAATACAAGTAAGCAAAATAAGAAAATTAAAAACAGGCTTAATCTCCGAACAGCTTAATTATTTTTTAACGATTTACTAGAGGTCATTCCCCAGCTTTTATTGAATTGTATATCTTTTAATACCATGTTCTTAGGTTAATGGAGTATGTTTTTCTTTTTTAATGGGCATAAAAAGCAAGACGCAATCCATTTAGAATTTTCTCATCTATTAAAATTCTTACTCTGTGCACTGTATGTGTTATTGGACCTGTGACACCCTCCGCAAACGTTCAGAAGTTCCATCATTTGTTTTCCAAAGGTCTTCTGCATTGTACTGATTTTTTTATTGTGTAAATTTTGAGACTCAGAAGTCACAGTGATTTCTAGTCAAAATTTGTGCCGGTGCAACCTACCTGTGTGGTCCTGAAAAGAACACACATGGGTGACTCTTTCTGGTCGCTTCTCTTCTGCCTCTGTCTCTCCTTCCTTGCACGAACTAGCCTTTCAGAATGCATTGAAGTGCGATTCCTCACATGTGTGCCTGACCCGTCCACATGGAGGCCAGTTCCCTGGTTTTGCTGGAGTCCCGGGTCTGCTCGTGCAGTGCCTTCCACCTGGATGCCTGCTCCCCTGTCACCCCGTTTCACCTGCAGGCTTCTCCTTCTGGGCCCAACACACTTTCCTCCCTCTGAATTCCAGCAGTCACCCTCAATATCACTTGCCTGGTCTTTAAAACATTATATTAATTGTCTTTCTCCCCTTTGGGGGTAGGAGGAAGTGTATTTTATTAGTAACCTTTGTGTAACCATAACGACCCCAAACCACCATTTAGCGAGCATGAATCTTTCTAGGTTTTGAGCTGGGTGCTTCACATCTCTGGTCCTTACGGTGCCCTCCCTGCAAGCTAGATATTGCCAAGCCACATTTATGAATTGTGTCATACTTGCTTTAGTCATGTGCCTGCAGCCATACACCCAGGAGGGGGCTGAATGCAGGTGCCAACCCAGGTGCCGTGGTCCTAGAACTTTCAAGGGGCACATCTCATACTCATGATTCAATGAAGGAATTAGTAGGAAATCCAGCTAAGCACTGAGGGGTATTGAAAAACCTTTTCATGGAGACTCTTAATTCTCTGGTTTTCTCAGCAATCATGGGATTGACATTATATATATATATATGTGGAGGGGAGCCTGGGTGGCTCAGTCAGTTAAGCATCTGACTCTTGATTTCAGCTCAGGTCATGATTTCAGGGTCGTGAGATTGAGCCCCATGTCAGGCTCTGTGCTCAGCACAGAGTCTGCTTGTGCCTCTCCTTCTGCCCTTCCCCCTGCCCATGCTCTCGCTCTCTCTTAAATAAATAAATACAATCTAAAAAAAAAGATGTATATATATATATGAAGAGAGAAGGAGAGAGAAATGTTGAAAGAGATTGATTTTAAGGAATTGGCTCATGTAATTGTGAGAATGGGCAAGTTCTCAATCTATAGTGCAAGATGGCAGGCTGGAAACTCAGGCAGGGTTTCCTTGTTACAGTTTTGAGCCTGAATTCCTTCTTAAGAAACCTCACTCTTTGCTCTTAGGCCTTCAACTGATTGCATGAGGCCTACCCACATTTTGGAGGGTAATCACTTTGCTCAAAGCCTACTGCTTTAAAAATGAATCTCATCTAAAAAATACCTTCACAGCAACATCTAGACTAGCGTTGGACAACATATTTGGGTGCTGTGGCTTAGCCAAGTTAGCACATGAAATTAATGCTCACAGTAACATTTTTGGGTTTCCCATTAAACCTTGAGGTGAAGAAGTTTCTCCACCTCTCCGTCTGCCATGAGATACTTTCCTGTGCTTACCCCCCATCCTCTCCTGTCAGAGCCATGGTGCAAATGGGAATGGCTTCCCCCCTGGAAGCCCAGTTTTCCACCATGCGTGGGGCAGTGTGGGTGCCGTGGAGCTGGGCGTGCTGAGGCAGAGGCAGCGCAGGGCGGTACCCTTGCCTGTTGGGAATGTGGAACACGAAGACCACTGTGTCTGCAAATGAAGCAAGCTGCAGTGGTGCTGGGGAGAACACAGTCTCACTCACGTCATGACTCATGAGTGCATGGCTCCCAGAGCTCTGCGTGTCATACTCATGGCATCATCCCCCAGCCCCCCGGCAGCCGTCGGAGGCAAAATGGTTCTGTCAGGAACTTCCTCCCTGCTTGGATACAAGACTCCTGAGAGTGCTGCTTCCATCAGTGAAGGCCCACGCAAGGAAAAATCAAATATCATAAGACCAGAAGGGAGCTCTGTTTTCTCCTCAGATTTTCTTTCTTAATCATACTTTTTCTTTCTAATTAGTTGGCTTATTTTTAAAACTTTAAATGGAATGTAGTTATTTAAAGGTAAATGTTACTTTGTGTGGCTGACTATTATGAAAATGTTGTTTAATACTATGAGTTTATCAACAGGTAAGAGCAGGCTTACATGGGCCCTACATAGAAAATGTGTCTCCTACTCCTTCTTTGCACACTGGGAGGTGAGGACTGACCTGTGAGATCCCATCCCGTTGACTATCACCATAGGAAACTTACAGGACTTCTCTGGACCTCAGTTTTTATATTTTTATGAAGAACATCTTAGATACTTGTCAATTCAGCGGTAGTTGGTGTCACAGCCTAGACTGGGACAAGTTGCTGACCGTGGTCTGCTGTGTGTGAGACGTTAAATGTGGCATGTGGCACGTTTCCAGGCATGGAGTAGTAAGAGCTATTGCCCCTTCTTTCCATCCATGGACAGTCCAGCATCTCTTTTCTTTCTTTCTTTCTTTCTTTCTTTCTTTCTTTCTTTCTTTCTTTCTTTCTTTCTTTCTT